CCAGTAGAACCGGAGATATGAAACTGTGACCCCCCTTTTTTTGCGCAGTATACATTATTAGAAATTATTATGATGTTTGTTTTACTTTCATAAGTTTAAAAACGATAAATTACACCACATTTACTATGTCATGCAAATAGTATTCAAATCTGATCCACTGCTGTTACAGTCATTGTCATATCTAAATTAATCACATTCATTAAAATTTTGAGAGCTAGTAAGTAAATTTTGTGAAGTAACTAGTAAGTAAATTTTGACAGCTATTAAGTAAATTTTTGTGGTTTCTTGACTCAATAAGCTATGTTGGATAATAATCAGCACAGTATACTGAATTTCTCAAAGAATTAAAATTTGATGCTTTACAGTAGAATAATTCATATACTCATTAAAGATTTATAGCTCTGTGAGATCAATTTCCTAACACAGAAAAATATTAATGGAATTAATAAAAAGAATGCCATATAAAACTATATATTTATATGAATTCATACAGATGTTAATTTCTACAAGGGAGCAAAGCAAATGAGTTTCTTCTAAGTTGCCTTTTATAGATTCTAAGAATTTAAGGTAAACCATAACTGACGGACATACTATTTTAGAGAGTAATGATGATATATTTCAAAAAGAAAGAATGTATGCAGAGTTTAGGTTGTTTGAATATGGCAAAAACAAATGAGGGCTATCCGCCAAGGTAAAATGATGCCTTCATGGAGGATTTTCTAAAAGAAACTGATTCAACATAAAAACCAACTACACAGCTAGCCCACTCACCTGGGTTTGAGTCAAACTCCCAGAATTCAAGTCTTAGCCTCTTGTGGGTCTGCATGGCTAAAATTTTGCTTGCTTTTAGTACAATTAAATTATGAACTGAAATCTGTCTGTATTGAAGCAATGTGCAGCATAAAATGCTACAAAAAACCTAATGGAAGTTTTAACTTTATAACCCTTTCCTACAGAATTTCTAAACCAATGGAAGGAAAAAAAAAAAAAAAAGTTGTATTTTAAAAGTCTGAGACATGAAAAGAAATGCTTGAGCAAATTTTTAAAGTTTCAAGAATATAACTTATTTAAGAAATTTCATAAGAAGAGAAAGATAAATATTTTACAAATTTAATTATAAAATAGAATTTTGTTAGTTACAAAAATTGAAACTTACACTGTTTACTTAGTCTAAAAGCAACATTTTATATGTCTGTTATAATTACTAGTATAACTGAAATCAAAGAAAGGTTTAATGAAACAAAAAGTAATTATAAATTTTCAAGGTATGGAGGACATTATTAGTGGCTAAGTACTGAAAAAAACCTCTGAATACTGGTAGATTGACTAGGCTTCAAACCCAGCCAGTTCCCTTTGTAAATTCCTCCACACAGGCATTCTTCTCATTAGGCAAATAGCTCTCGTGTGGTTTGCCATATTTGAGAAGAGAGGATTTTGTATGCCCTAAGAATTTGTATTTTCTAATACTACCTTAAGCATTGTTTTAAAAAAAGCGCCTTTCTTTTTCCTTTCTTCTGGATTATCTAGCTTCAGATGATTAATAATTTGTTTCCTATTACTTCTTATTTCAGATTTTATAACTAAGAACAAAGCTGTTGAGCTTTACATGAAATCCTTGCTAATCAGTTGAAATTCTGTTAAAACTGAAAGATGTTCTTCGGTTTATGACAAAGTTTAAATTTGTGTCTGATAAAAACTTGAAGTTTTTAATGCATCACAATTTTTTTTTTTAAATTTGCTGTATTTCTTTTTTAATTTGGCAACGTGGAGGGTGCCTGTATGCCTGCTAGGGATCATCCCCTGAAAAGCATTATTGCTTACCTTTCTAGTTTATGGTGTAACAACATCCTGCTGAAACCAAAGGCTGGCATCAAGTATGTTGCAAAGTTAGACATTTTCATGCACAACTACAAAAGTACATTATTCGTATTAGCAATGTATTGTTCATTTTTTCAATGTAATTTTTAATTATATGAATATGTAACAATAAATTACAATATATTGTATATTTCAGAATCAATGACTCGTAACATTCTCATCAAAATAATAAAATCCTTACCTTCACCCTAGATTAGTTGCTTTTCTTTTGGAAACCCTACTTGCAGACATCCTTCATTACACAATGTGTCCACTAAGTATTCTACTTTGATCAATTAACCAACCATGAAGCTGAAGTTCTGCTGTACATGTTAATACCGTTTGAACTCTTCTAAGCTCACATCTCAAGATTATGAAATTATATTTATTTCACAGATTTGCTCCTTTCCCAGTTTTTTCCATACAATTCAATATCAATTTTACTTTTATAAATTTATTAAAATAATTCAAATTCAGTGTTACCTGTTGCCATTAGTTGAAACTTTCAGTAAAATGACTATAAAATATTTTACTGCAAGCAGAACAGGTGCTCCAGACAATCAAGAAAATATTTTTACTGGAAATGTAATAAAAGATCACAATGTTTTACATCAAGTAACTGAGAGTAAGTTACATCAAATAATTGATATAGCTTAAAAATGTGTCATCTAAAATTCAAATAATTGAAATACCAAAAGGTTTTACAAAGTATGGAATGTATATTAGCTTACCAAGAAGATTTTAAGAATTCTTAATTTTAATTGCATAGATAATAAGTTATAAAATTAGAAAATTACAAATCATTGCCTGTGTAATAAAAATTATTGCTGTCTTTAGCTACAAGCAAAGTATGAACATTCGCACGCAAGCAAATACCATATTAACTACTTATGTTAATGAAAATAATGCATATAACAAATATTTTTTGGAATTTAAAAATGTTTGCTAGCAATTACAATATGTTTTGATTTAAAAGGAAAACAGAAATTCCATGTATCATATAAATTTTGTAGATAATTTACTGCATTTTTCAGCTACTAGCTTGTCAGTGTTACGATTTCATATATTTTTAGGAAATTTGTATTCTAAATTCAAAACCTGAAATATGGATTACTCTACTTTCTTACTGCTTGTCCTAATTCTGGACAGAGTACTTTGGCTTGAAAAAAATCTGCTTCTAAAAGAATGGTTTTTCTTCTTGCTTTTAGTTCATTTAGCTTTCTAGGAAGAACTCTAAATGTTTTTGTGAAGGCATCATATCACGTAGACTAATAATTCTTCATCCTTTTCAAAACACAACAGAACTTAATTTATCTTTCAATCACAAGACTAGTGTTGTGGTAATTAAAAGGGTAATAATGGAAACTCCTATCACTATTACTGCAGACATGTGCAGCTGATTTTGAAAGTATACTTTAAATAGTACATGACACAATACATATAAAAATCAAGTTTAGAACTGAAGACAAATCTCATTATAGCTCCTTAATTTGCTTACCATAATGTACAATATAATATTTAAAATATATCAAAAATGCTTTCTAGTTATAACACACACACAAATAATAATAATAAAAAAAAAAACTTAAAGTGCTTTCATTTTCAGCTTAATCTGGAATAATTTTTTTTTTAAACTTATTTTCTTGATTGCCTAAAAAATATTTGCAAAATATTCAGTACATAATCTAACATTATAAAACAATTATTTATTATTTCATGTACTGTGTACTTAAAATAACATACTACATTTAAAAATGGACACAATTTTTTTTTTTTTTTTTTGTTGAAGTTTCATATTGGTATATAAAGTTTCATAAACTGTTCAGTAAATTATTCATAAACAGTATGTCCCATTTTTAATGCACTTGCACATTAAGTTTTAATGGAAAATTTGTGATGTTTTGTTTTATTGAATAGATAAGTTTTTGCATAAAAAATTGTCATCTCTCAGAAATTTGATTTTTAAAATGTTAAAAAAAATTTTCCCACTTATTTATTTCCCTCACTGTAATAAATTCCATGATACCAAGAGTCCATCTTTTCAAAAAGTTTACTAGCTTAGTAAGTTTTATAGGCATGTGAATAAAATATAATTTTTTTCAAAGATGGAAAATCTTTAAAATTACAGTTACAATGACCAATCCCTTGTTGTCTGCTAAACTATCAAAACATGTTTATGATGCAAACAATTCCTATTCATATGACTGGAAGATGAAAGTTCCAAAAGACTGCAGGTGATTTTCCAGTTGACATAGACAATAAAGCATGGATAATCATATGCTGCATCTCCAATAAAATCAATCAAATGTATATACTAATGTGTATTACAGTTTGCATACATCTGCTGACATTCCCAAGGAACTGTAATTATTACAGTAATTTCTTGTAGTACATAAAACATAGCATAGTACATAAAACTGAATGCAATTGTTGCACTCAGTTTTATGTACTATGCTAAGGATGCTCCTTCTACAAGACATTAATTCTATTAGAACTAAAAACAAATTTATCTCATATATTTATCACAGATCATTGCAGTAAAACTTGTCTCTTTTGATATTGTTAACTCTTGAGTATTTGCCTATTGTAGTAATCCTATAGATTTCAATTTCCTCATAGTTTTACCCAATTCCTAAAGTGTTCCCAATTCCAATTCTAAAGTTTTCTCCTCAGAAAATATTTTTAGGATATTACCATAACTACATTTATCAAATAAAAGGTCAGCAACAAAATGGAAAACTAAACAATTTGACAAAATTTTAAGCATAATAAATTTTTCAAGTAAGTAATTAATATTGATGTCTTTGGTGACTAATTTCTGCTTAGACTCACCAAACTTAGGCCCCAAATACTTTTAATAATATCTTCAAGGTGTGGACAAGCTATTTAGCTGAAAAACGCAATGAAATCAAATATTTGCATTTAAAATGTAAACGCTGAAAAAATCTAACACTTTAAAACATCAGATTGAGAAGAATTTGAAGTGGGAGGGGGTCACTGTACTAAATTTGTGTTCATTTCCTTTAGAAAAATAATAATGTAAATCATCTTGTACTTCATACAAAGATCAAATTTATATGGCACTTAATATATTCTGTAAAGTACATGTGGGAGATTTAGGCATGTGAAAACAAACAAAAAAGAACATTAAACAATTGTTTATGCATCAAAATGCAACTTATAAAAAATTACAAGTAAATACAATAAGTATAAAAATTCAACTATGAATATACATTATTCGGCTCCATTTATTTTTGGCTCAGATCAAACAGTATGCTATCATACAAGATACAAAACAAACTAAATTCATATATCACTTAAACATTCACATAATAAAAGTAATAAAAATCAGGTCTTTCATTAAATGACTTGAGACCAATATTTCTGATATTCTCATGAATACATTCAAAAGTAACAACTAATGAAACATAAATAGAACAGCTATGTGCTTTAAAAATGAAGTCTCAGTAACTAAATTGAATGATTAAATGGTGTGAAATTTAAAGTGTATCACAACAGACAACATTTTCATAAAATTCAAATTCTCAGAATGACTAACATACAAAGCAGTCTATTATCTTAAATTAACGCTTTGGCTTGGTCATAGATTTCATAACAACTCATATTAAAAAGGTAAGAATGACAAAATGTGTAAAAAATTCACACAATTCTTTTTTAAGTCTTGATGAGATTATATAATACAAAGGCAGTTGCTCCATATTTGAAAGTTTTAAATATTTTTGGAGAGTAGAATACAATTTGTTCGAAGCCACAGTAGCAAACAGTTAAATTAACTTTGAAACAAATTGATGTTCATGAGCACATCTGACATCTCCAAGTCTTTTGCGTACAACAAAATAATGCTTAAATATTATAATCCATAACCTGTACCTAACACACCATGTGTCATACATCAGATTTCCTTGCATGTTTTTTACGTTGATACAGAGTTACAGACGCTAAATGGTTGTTGGGCATTACCTGAAAAGAATATATATTACTTAGTTTCTAATATAAAATATTAGAAGTTCATTCTTTATATTAATTATTTTGAAAATTAGCAGTAAACCATTCACTCAAGTTTATTACAAACATCAAATTAATGACCAGAATAAGGCTGCTTATCATACTGACTGCCACTTGTTTCTAAATCAATCACAAGCTACCCCTCACTTGCACTCCAATGCCAATTCATGGCACAGCAATATGCAATCGTTCGGGCACCATTTTCATTGCATGAGTTAAAAGAGAATTATCAGACATCAAGAAAATTTTGAGTTTGTTATAAATAAATATGATGAAAGCAGGATATTATTACACATAGAAGGTGGTCTGTGTTTCACTGAACATGTTTTTTTTATTGGTGAATAACATTCTTGAAATAATTATAATTATACTGACACAAGGCATGTGTCCCATATAACTCTTAGCTAATTTTTTTTTATATTCAGAGAATTTACAATTGGCAGTAGAAAAGAGAAGGCAGATAACATGTTAGCAACAAAAAGAAAGGAGAGGGGATACAAAGATTATGGTATTTACACTAGATAAAGAATAGCAAAATTTTGGTTCTGCTTCTCTTTTATTTGTTGGTTAAAAATTTTGGCCTTCAAATTTATCATTATTATTTGGTAAATTATTTCATTTTATTTAACTATAAGGTCCCTTTCCTGCAACAGAAAAAAAAAAAAAAAAAAAAAAGATATTTTTGCAGAATGTTTGCTCCTGAAGAAGAGAGACCTGCGTCTGATCATCCTCAAAATAGTTTTATTGAAAATCTAAGCCAAAATAAGACTACTGTTTGCCTAATTTTAAGTATCACATTTTCATGTTTCTCTTCCCATTTGAGGCCAACATAAACTACTTGCTTTTGAATGCAGAATTCTAGCTTGATGAAACAAAACACTCAGTTTTTATGCCTTTTGAACAATTACTTAGAATTTCCAACTCATGACATTACCACTCAACATGATAGCACATTAGCAAATAGCATCACTGATAACACATTAGCAAGTGCTTAATGATTTTGATTTCTGATATCTGTTAATGCTGATTGACATGTGATACTGAGTGAAATTAACAATGTAGGAAGCATGAAAGTTACATCCATGAGAATGTTGTGAAATTTAAGGGATTTATCAGCAAAAGGCTCAGATAAGCACCTTTACTAATAGCAGGTCATGGGACACAATGCCACTAAGAATTATTGCTGAGAAAATCTCATTCATGACATTACCACCCAACAGTGATAACACATCAGCAGACAGCACCATTCTTAACATATAAGCAAATGCTTAATGATTCTGATCAGTGATCTCTCACCAAAACTGTTAATGCTGACAGGTATGTGACATTAAGTGAAATTAACACTGTAAGTGATATATAGATGTTAAATCTATGAAAGTGCCATGAAGTTTAAAAGGGATATAGCAGCAAGAGACTCAATGCAGCAGTTTAACAGCATGTCACTGGCCAAAATACCTCATGAGAGCTTGTGAATGCAATAATTCAATTCTAAATGACATCTCCAAAAATTATGGAGCTAATCTATCAACAAAGCACTTCCCAAGCTGGTGACAAGTGTTTATTTTCATGGTACAATTTGTCTTTGGGCTTCCTAAACATGTCATTAAGTAGAAACTGCTTAGTGACTATTTAGAACCCTGTTTAGACTTCATATGTCCCAAGGATGGTAAGATTTTCATAGATAACAGTGTACCAAGTCTTAAGGCTAGGATTGTTTAGGGCAGATTTGAGAAGCATAGTGGATAATTCTAATGTATGGTTTAGCCACTACATTTACCAGTCACAATTCCATTGGAACACTGGATGCGATATAACTGAAAAATCTATTCATGCATAAAATCCAACTCTGACAATAAAGAGGTAATAACAGGCAGTTGTTCAGGTAGCAAGACTCAACATTTCTCTAGCACACTTTTGTAAATAAGTGGTGTATTAGAGCAGGCATCATACTAGGAAGCATTCTTCGATTTTCCTTATTCGAGTGTATCTCACTGAATTATTAGTTTCTATTTATCTAGGGCACAGATAGATCATGTTATTTATGGAAAAAAGTAGTCTATGATGGAAAGGTAGGGCAACTCAGAATACAATATAAAAAATACCAGATGTAATGAAATTTAAGCAATGTATAAAAACATGTTTTTAAAGACCTAATAAATTGACTTTCCTTTTTATGTCTTAAATTATGTAACATGGATACTTGTGCAATCTGTTACTTTACATCAAATACAGACATGTACTTCCATAATAAAGTATACTTCTATGTTATATGCTAACCTTCTTTATGCAAGACATTTTGATTTAAATTCACTGTTTATTAACATTTTCAAATACATTGTTAGTGTTTTTTCTACACAAAATTAATATTTTTTCAAACTACTGCAATTTCATGTGCAAGAAATGTATCTGCTGTACGCCTCCAGAAAAAAAGAAAAAGCACAATTGCATTTTGAATTCTCTTTTTTATTATTATTAAATAAGCATAACAGTTTTCATACTGCACGCACTTACGTTAGGATACTATAACATTCAAATGTGGCATTCTTGTACAGTCAAAAGTCGTTAATCCGGACTCGTCGGGACTTCGGCGATTCCGGATTATCGATTTTTTCGGATTATAGATCATCAGTTTAAGTCTGGTAAGATGGCATGCAGAAATTACAAAATTAAAAATATGAAACCATAATTTATGAAATAAAGAACAATTATGATCTAAAGAATATCCAAATTTAAAAAAAAAAAAAAAATATATATATATATATATATATTTACTTGTTTACTTTATCAAACATTTCTTTCAATGTAAGTTGCTTCGTTTCATGTGATAATACTTTCTCTTTAATTCTATTAAACAGACATAATTTCTTGTTTAGTTACAAAGTTCCGCTGTTCAAGTCCTATAATTGCTGTGTTGAGAATACCGACTAATTTGTCAATCGAAATGTTTTCGTTTTCAATAACCTGTGGGTCACTTTCTTCACTATCAGAAGCGAATTATAATGATGAGGAACTTGATTTAAATCATATCAAAGATGGAGTACATCGAGATGAAATACTACACTTAGTAAGGAATTATAAGCCAAATAAAATAAAAACATCTGCCCTGAAGATAAGGATAGTGCTGACAGATCAACTTCCAATCCGCAGCGTGAAATTGATAAACAGATTTCGGATTTCAAAACATACTTTCGCTCTGTAGATACAAATTACATATTAGTAAATATATATCGGAAATTCTATTTGACATAATCGAAAGTTCAAGCTTACTTTTATGAAATTGCTCTAACAGCAAAAAATAATAAGCCGGATCCAATTCGAAGATTAAGGAACAACGCAATCTGCAACATTAACTGAATTAAATAATTTTTGCTTAGATTATACTGTCCGTTACACATTAAACGCGCATGCGCAAAAACATATTCGCAGCCGTAAAGGTCTTACGCGAACTCCTGTGTGCATGCGTGAAAGCGACGCATGCGCAGAAAGTTTGCAGCTTTGAGGTCCGGATTATAGATCATTCCGGATTATGGGTGTCCGAATTAACGACTTTTGACTGTATTATTAATAGTTTATATATTTATATTATATGTATAATTTAATAAGCATAATTAATATTAGTTATGTGTATAATTAATATATTTCTAAAGAAATCTTTACTTGGTAATAAACTTTTTTTATCCAGAACAAACGAATTTAATATCATGATTAATATTGAGAAAGAACACAATTTTCGATAGATAAATCCCCAAACAGGGAAAATTTTCTCAAATCATGTTGAACTCAAAAGGCAGTTTAAAATAATTTTAACCACTATAATACAAATTTCAGATCATATTTTAGAAACCATACATAATCCTTTCTAGAGTACTGCAGGATTTAATATACTACAAATGGCATAAGAATCTGAAAACTACAAAACTGAAGATTTTTTTAAAAATTCATTTAAAAACATTTCTAAACTGTAATCATTTTCTTAGCTTGCCAAAATATTTAGCACAAAAAATTCAATAAAGTATCACATAAATAAATGAATAAGAATTGAGCCATATTTTTTACTTTATTTTTTGTTAAGAGGTAGAATTATTTTTTACTTTGATTATTAAAATATTAAAATATTTATTTGCAAATTAATTACTCTTTGTGTTAGTAAGCTCTTATGTAACTAATAAGGATTAAAATTTTTTGCTCTCCAATTTTCAAGAAGTAGCCCATCCAGAATTAGCTTCCTCCCTGCAAAGGAGTGAAGTGAGGGTAATATAGATGAATATGGAATTGTATATAATTCACTCACTATTACACAGTTTGTTCTTTTTACTTTATTTTTTTAATTTGGAGTGTTAACTTCCTTATTAGTGCCATGAGTACAACACTACCCATTTCTTCCAATTTTTACTTCCTTGTACGAAGTAAAAAGGAGGTATTGCAATCGCGAAAAGTTTCAGGCAGCATATTTCAACGAAAAAATATCCATTTTTGACCGCTATCGAATGCAATTTAACGATGTTTTTGCGTGATATCTGTAAGTAAGGACAGAATAAAATACTCTTTTCCTTCAAAAAAATTATAAAACTGCTTTAAAATTAATTCTGAAGAGAATTTTTCGTGTATGAACGTATTTTTCTGTACAAACGTATGTACGTACGTGCGTGCGTACGTACATATCTTGCATAACTCAAAAACGAGTAGCCTCAGAATGTTGAAATTTTGTATATAGGACTGCTATAACATGTAGATGTGCACCTCGTATTTTGTTGCAATCGGCCGCACCCAAACGTATATAAATATATTTATAAGAATAAATTGAATTTAAAAAAAATTAAATTTAAATACATATTTATTAAATATTCTTTGCGCCATTGCTGCAAGAAATGAAATTTAAATTTAAACAAATTTAAATCTAATTTTTAACAAATACGTATGAAAGTAAAAAAAGCAAATTTAAATTCTAAAAAAAGGAAAAAAGCCAAAATATTTTTTAAAAAAATGTGCAAACATGTAAAAGATTTAATTCTCGAACTAATCTACAATATCATTTAAATTCAGAAGCATAAGCAAATTAAGTGCAAAATCAATCCATGAAAATAAACTTACTAATTTAATAAATTAAAATTAAATTAAACAATTTTTTTTTTTAAAAAATGCATATGTGAATGACCATTGAGTAGGCAGGAGACAGACTTATCAAGGGGAAGTTGCCTCCAAACCTAACTCTCCAATCATTCAATTCGTGTTTTCGTCATTCATGCAGGCAAGGGTAAAAGTCAAACCAAAAGTAATTCCAATAAAGTGGTAGCCTTAGAAATTAACATTTAAGAATTAAAGTTCAAAAAGGAAAATACTAATGAAGTCTTTGAGAAACAAGCAAGTAAAGTAAGAATTAAACTCTTCTTAAAAAATTATTTTTTAATAAAAAAATAATAAAAAAATCTAGAAACCAATGTATTTTAGAAACCCTTGTCTACAGAAACTTTCCCTACACGAATATGCATATCAATAAAAAGAAACTAAAAAGAAAAAAAAAGAACTAAACATAATCCATTATAAACCCATAAGAAACGAAAAGAACTAATTCAAAATTTTTAAAAAAACAAATATACATTTAAAAATATAATTTCATATTTAGAAAATACTTAGATACTACATAAAAAATTTTAAAAAATACTTAAAGCAAGTAAATAGTAAGTTTTAATTCTAACTTACCTACTTATGAGTTTTGGGGTCTGCAAAAGTGTTGTGAAAGAGAAGTAAGTGTGTTCTTCAAATTATATAGATGGCGTTTATGTAGGTAAAGTGGAGTGTCAAGCTGCTATCTTTGTTATAGTAAAAAATTTTTTGTAAACATTAATATTAAAAATTAAAAATCCCAAAGGTAGTAATTATCAATTATATAGGGAGTTAAGTAACTGAGCCAATCAAGAGATGTAAGTTTGCTTGAAGGAAAATAAAGTGAAGTGGTATCGTGAATAAAATGTAAACTGTCTGTAATGTGAAATGTGTGTTGTTCTGTTGAAAAATTGTGTAAAAAAACGTTAAGTGAAAAATTTTTTTGTGTGAAAAATGCAAATAATTAAAGTAATTAAGAAAAACTGAAATGTATGTTAAATATTAAAGTTTTAAAGTAAAATTTATTGAAACGAAGTCCTCAAAAAACCTCTAAAAAATTCCCAGAAATTTTCCAAAAATTCCTTTAGGAAGTTAATTTAAAACTTAAATTAATGAAAGAAAAATATTAAAAGTTTAATGAACTTGATTCAATTGGTATATCAAACTTAACTAAATACTGGCTAAAGTATGGAAAATTAGAAGTTAAAAATTAGATTTAAATTGTTTAAATTTAAAATATTTATATATATCCACTCTATTACTGGCTCAGTGATCTCAGTTTCTTTACTCTTATATGTTTGTAAATTGTACATTTTTTGCTTTAAAAATGATTTTTGAATTATATTGTTTTTATCTTCCGGTTGGATTTATCCCTTTAGTAAATCTGTGTGCAATATTTTTAGAACTATCAGCAATTTAAAGTTGTTTAATTGCTGCTAAGGTTTTTAATGGCGGTCATTGATGTTACATTTGAACAGGAGAACTAGCGGATTTGTTGCCAATCTAGAGAAACTTAGCTTCGCACAAACAAAGATAACACATTCTTATTATTGCCAATTAAATCATGCTTAATTCTTTCTGGAATTTTTTCGAGAAAATAAGCATTTGAGATTTACTTCGTAATTTTTAATAGATATTTTGAGTTTTTATGTATTTTGCCTCTTGCGAAGTGAGAACTGAATTAATTAAATGAGAAATACTCAATCGTCTGTGAAAAAACTGTTCTTTTTTGTTTTGTTTGCTTAATTTCTTTTATACATAGTTCAAGCTTTTATTAAGTATTTGAATTAGAACATGTCAACGGATTAGATAATTCTTTAAATGATAACATTAGGCATTCGGGTTATTAATATTAATATAATACTGTAAGTGACCTACGCCAGAGTGTAAGATTGGTAAACAGCATATTTTAAAGAATGCATTTATTCTATTGTGGTTTATGCACTGTCGGCGAAGTAGGTTTAATTCAGTCTAATAAGTTTAAATAAAATGCAAGAAAAAATGCGTTAATATTCCATACAAGGAAGTCATGTGGTGTACACATCAGATTTTTTCCTACTGTCTTAGAAGAAACTCAACCTAATCATCATTGTCAAGTCATATGTTATAGATTCAGAGTCATTACTGTGATTCTTCATTTCCATATTTTTTCCATTCAAGTCTATATTATTCATGGCAAAATAGTCATTCCCCACAACTGTTCTTTCCCATAAAAAGTGTTATTGTTTTAAGTTGAAGTTTTTCCTCTTTATCTCACCTGGTAGGAGGTAGAAGATTCTAACAAACCCCAAATGCACAACAATATCATATCCATACTTAAACCAAAATTCATAAGTAGTGAAAAGTTCACTAGTATTACATTTAAAATGCAAAAAACAAGATGTGTATTTAAATTAAAATAATCTGAATATTTAAAAACCTACTTCAAATATAATATCTTGGTAACCATAACAACATGTGGATCCAAATGGATTCGTTGCATTGTGCGTTGATGCTCTGTTTAAAACAACAGGGCGTTCCAAGGGTTTCTTTAAATGTTCTTCCATTGTATCCCACTGAAAAAAGTAAAATAAATAAATCTTTAACAATACAAAAAAACAATTTTGATTTATCAAAGCATCTGTCAATTACACCGCAGAATTTCAAGGCAAAAATATTGTTTTAATCAAGCTTTGTGAAATATTCTAATTCAGTATCATAAAGTATCAAATTTTATGTCCTTTCACATTGGTTCAGCCTGGATAAACTTTGCATAAAAGGTTTATTTTTAAATAAATTTAAATAAAATTATCAATGATTATATTCAAAATAATCAATCTAGTCTTTTCAGATTTTATAATACTGTTCTTTTGTTTGCATGCATCTTTGTTGCATTAACATCTGAAATCAGATGCTGCTAATTTTTATTAGGGGTTGTTATTTTTACTTTACAAATTCTGTGTCATAGTAAAACACAATTTATTGGCACTTCAGCTATATTTTAGTATCCGAATTTCATGTTACAACAAAATACATAGCACTGTCACTTCCATTACGGGAAATATCTGATTGTAACAAAAGTTTTCTGACAAAAAATGTTCTCAATAAAGTTAGGAAGAAAAACAAAATGAAAGCAGTACCTGAAGTGCAGGTAGTAATCACCATCCAAATCTATCATCCGCAAATGTTTAGATAGTTTTCGAAAGCTTTCAAAACACAACTGGTGGCCATGAGTTTAAAAACAGATCAACCTCATTTCAGGAATCCTGTGCAGAATGGAAGGTAGCACAGCAAGATGTAGCTGGTTGTGTGAAAAAAGGTAGAAGTGCAAAGGAGCGATGTCAGGGCTATATGATGGCTGTGGCAAAAAATCCCATTTGAATTCATACAGAGTCCAGCAGGTGAATGCATACACATGTTGTCTTCATTATCTTGATGGGACATTAACATTTTGTGCCAAAACTCAGTTCGACGTTTCTCCTTGATAGCAGCATCAACACAGACTAGCATCTCACTGTAAACCTCCTTGTCAAGTTTTTTTTTTTTTTTAAACCTTTTTCCAGCTATTCTTTATGGATAGTACCACGGGTAAAAAGTATGATCTTTTTGTTAGTTAAATTGTGCTCTGTGACACTGCGAACGGGCCCACTAGGTGGAGACACACCCCCTTTTGGCTTGTGTTGTTGAATTAAATCCACTTTTCATTACAAGTGACAATCCAGTACAGTCAAAAGTCGTTAATCCGGACTCGTCGGGACTTCGGCGATTCCGAATTATCGATTTTTCCGGATTATAGATCATCAGTTTATATTGCATAAGATGGCATGCGAAATTCTAAAATTAACATAGAAACCGTAATTTATGAAATAAAGAAAATATGATCTAAAGGGTATCAAAATTTACAAAAAAAAAACAAAAAAAAAAAAAAAAAAAAAAAAAAAAAAAAAAAAAAAGCTTAATTTTATTTGTTACTTTATTAAACATTTCTTTCAATGTAAGTTTTAAGTTGCTTCGTTTTATGTGATAATACTTTCTCTTTAATTCTATAAACAGACATAATTTTTGTTTCACTTACAAAGTTCCGCTGTTCAAGTCCGTTAATTGCTGTGCCGAGAATACCGACTAACTTGTCAATCGAAATTTTTCGTTTTCACTGACCTCTCTGTCACATTCTTCAGTCTTTTCCATTTTTTGCAGCAATCCACTTTTTGTTTGATGACATGAAACATACTTTCGTTCTGTACGATCCTTGGGAGCTCCAGAATCAAAAATTCTATTTGACATAATCGAAATTCAAGTACTTTATAGTATTGCTCTTACAGCCTGCAAAAAAATAATAAGAGGATCCAATTCGAAAATTAAGGACAACGCAATCATCAAACATTAACTGAAATAGATAATTAGATAATTTTAGTTTACACCATCCGTTATACATAAAACGCGCACGCAAAAACGTATTCTGCGCTTGCGCACACGCAAATGTGCAGTCGCAAGAGGTCTTACGCGCACGCGTAAACGCCTATGCGTATGTGTCAACGCAGCGCATGCGCAGAAGGTTTTTAAGCTTTGAGGTCCGGATTATAGATCATTCCGAATTATGGGTGTCCGAATTAACGACTTTTGACTGTACAAAATTTTGTCTTTGTGTTAATATTCGAGCAGATTAGTACAGGCCCGAACACATCTGTCCTTATCTGTTTGAGTTAGCTTGTGCGGCACCCAGCGATTCAGCTTGCATATGAAGTTTATAAAATGCAAAGTGTGACTAATGGACATGGCAGCTATAACTCTTTAGCAAACTTTTGAATGGGCACATACTGATCATTTTCAAGTACTCGCAGGCAGGCCTCATCAACATCAGTAGGTTATCCAGAGTGCTCTGGTCCTTGAATGTCATAGTCCTTGTTTTTGAACTTTCGGTACCAAACCTTCACAGTGTCATATGATATGACATTAGTACCTAAAACTGTATACATGATTTTGTGATTCTATAGTCGACTTTGCAAGAGGGTTAGAAGTAAATGATGGTTCTAATCTGGTAGAATGATAGCTCCATTTCAGACACCTTGTACCTCACTGCAACAATATTTTTTTTTACAAATATTATAACACAGTGTTCTAAAGTAAGTCTCTTTCTTTAAAATAGCAGAACTCATTCGACAGAAAATGATTAAACACGGCAATGTGAATTGTTTCCGCAGACAATATTTGCAGTGGCAGCAAACGTTCGTTGAAACCCGATATTTATAAAACGCCAAGCACAAGCAATCGAGTGAGAAAATATACAGCTAAACTGTTTTGTAGAAATGAAAAAAAAAAAAAAAAAAAAAAAAAAAAAAAAAAAAAAAAAAAGCAAAGGCTTTAAAATTTTGAGTGTTGGAAGAACTGGAATTAATGTCATTAACTAAATAAAGAAGGTTATTTCTTTTAACATTAAAATTTTCAAGAAAATGAAGAAGCGGGGAGTTTTTGAGTAATCAGATATAATAAATGTCTGAAAGATAAATTTCCCTAACGAATCCGAACACTTTAGCGACTCATAAGGGGGTAAAATAGAACCTCAACAAAGTTATTACAATTAAGATACAATAACCAAATATTAATTTAAAAGTCAAACAACAAAAATCAGTGTTATATTTTCAAATTTTCACAGAACTAGTTTCGAAGGTTTTACCAAACCATCATCCTCAGCTCCAAAAGCGCAATGAATGAGATAAGAAAAGAAAAGAAAGCCTGGATACGAGATAAACTACTGGCACCATCTGTTGATGAAACCAAAACTAAAACATAATTTCTTTAAAGGCTGAAGGCAAAGATGGATTGGAATTAGGGTTGTTAACTAGAACAGAAAGATTTTTTTTTGAATGTGAAATGCCTCTAGAAAATCCAGTTCACCAATGGAAGATGTTTTTTGAATAATTTTGGCAGCAGAAAAATTGAAAGTCTGATTTACGTTGTTGGGCAAGAGAAGACTTCTGTGTTTCCTTTTTTCTAACATATGCCTCATGTTCCTTAACGCGAAATTTTAAGGCTTTCTTAGTTTGGCCAAACTGGCACACTTGGTTTTAGTAAATTTAAACCACACTGGCAAGGTATCCTGTAAATACCCCAGGAATTCATATCCTGAATAGGGTCTTTGAGTATGGAACTCAGAATCTTATTGATGGGAGAATAAACAACCCGAAAGTTAAATTTCTGCAAAATATGTGCAACTTTATAGCTAATTCATGGAAAGAAGGGAATGACAACAGAATTTTTATAATCTCCTAAAACAAGAGTGTCCCTTTTGGTGTGTTGAGATGAGGATTTTTTAACTGCTTGATTAATAATGTTGGATGAAAAACCCCTGTCAATAGCTATTGCTTTTAAATAATTTAGTTCTTCATCAAGGGAGTTTAGAGGAGCAAACTTGAAAAGCACGGAAAACATAGGAATAAAATGAAGCTAACCTTTGTTTAGTCGGATGACATGGTTTAAAGTGTGGTGAAAGGCAAACCGATGAAGGTTTACGGTAAACCATAGTACTGAAGTTGGATGTGTTACGTGTGACCAGAATGTCGAGAAACGGAAGAGAATTGCAAGTCTCAAGTTCAAAAGTGAACTGAATAGCAGGAGCAATGGAATTCATTGTTAAAAACTTTATTTAAATCATCTTTATTACCTTCAAACAGGGTAAAAGTATCGTCTACGTAGCAGAACCATACCGGGAAGTTTAAAGTTTCAAACAATTTTGATTCATAATAATGCATGTAGATATCAGCCTGGATGGTGCATGTAGATATCAGCCTGGATGGCACATGTACATATCAGCCATGAGGGGGGTTTCCATGGCTAGTCTGTCAATTTGCTTGTAATATTTATTTTGGAAAACAAACTGCGTTTGTTTCAAACAGAGTTGAGTGAGAGAAATTAGCTCATCAATTACGATGCAAGAGAAATTAAATTCGTGAAGTCTGCTTTCTAGACATCTTAATGCACCCTCCACTGGAACATTACTGAATAATGATTTTACATCAAAAGAAACCATGAGTAAATTTCTAGGAGAAATGCTTTTAACCTTTTTTTTAAACGTAACTCTATTGAATCTTTTATGGTGTAAATGTTATTGTCTAATAGAATTGAAAATCTAGAAACTAAATAATGCTTTTTACATTTACTTAAAGCATTCGCTTATCCCATCTGTCGCAAATTGTGCCAGATTATATGCTCTTCCCAAAATTCATAAAAGTGGTATTTCTTTCTGCCCTATTGTATCAAATTTAGGTACTGTCATATATCTGTTAGCTAACTATTTAGTTTCTAGATTTTCAACTCTATTAGACAATAACATTTACACCATAAAAGATTCAATAGAGTTACATTTAAAAAAAGGTTAAAAGCATTTCTCCTAGAAATTTACTCATGGTTTCTTTTGATGTAAAATCATTATTCAGTAATGTTCCAGTGGAGGGTGCATTAAGATGTCTAGAAAGCAGACTTCGCGAATTTAATTTCTCTTGCATCGAAATTGATGAGCTAATTTCTCTTACTCAACTCTGAAACAAATGCAGTTTGTTTTCCAAAATAAATATTACAA